GTATAAAGTCCATTAAAACTGATTATTTTTACAATGGATAGAACTTGAAACAATTGAGAGATTGACTAGATCGGTGATGAAATCAGGTGGTTTTGGCAATTTTACTCTAAAAAAATGGCTCCAGTTTTCTGCTGGTTTAACATTGAAAACCCAGAAAACATGTGATGATACAACAACAGCAAAACACAACTTCTTTATTTCTTAAGATAATTGAATGAAATTTTCAGGAGAAGTAGGAAACGACATGCTCTAAACATTAACTATGTGTAATTAGTTAATCTGTATGTATATCCCCATAAAACCAACATGCAATTAAAATTAACATTACTAGTAAAACTGCAGTAGAGGATCAAAGATAANGCATAAACACTGTGGGCTACGAGACCTACATGATGGTATCCTTAGACCCTGCTTGATCTCTTTACAGCCTGACCCGAACACTAAGGTTAACCAGGAGAAATGTGACCCAAGTAGGTGTCTCCAGAAAAATTGGTGCCGTACAGTAACGCCCCTTTTGTTCTTGTCCAATGAGGTGGTGCCGTACAGTAACGCCCCTTTTGTTCTTGTCCAATGAGGTGGTGCCGTACANTTTATGAGGTTCTATTCCTAAACAGGTAGGGGAATTGAAAAAGAAAAATCCTGGGTACTCAACAGGATAAAAGTGTGGGGGGCACCTTATTCTCAGCCCCCCCTGCTGGCGCCCCTGCATGTTTCACTGGAGCTGTTCACATTTTGTTTTCTAAAGTTCAGCAGCTCAGTAGTTCTTTACGGACCCAAGGTTTGGCAGCAGCTGAGAGTCACATCTTTTCATTTATCCCGTACAAAAACTCAACTTCAACCTGTTCAGGTTCCTGCAGCTCCTGCAGTGTGTCCAACTGGAAGTTTCAAAGCTCCAAGTAGAACTCCAGGCAAAGCTGCGCTGCATCAACCAAATCAGCTGCAGCTGAGGGATTTGATACGTCCACATTCTCATGGAAAATGCAAATAACAAAGAAAACAAAGGTAGGCTGAACTTTTAAGGTTTTCAGTGTGAGGCACGAGTCCTGCTCAGCACTACCACCACACCCTTCATCAACTGCAGCCCACTTGTCCATGTTTGGTCATGCTGGCATCTCAGCTGCTGATTGGTTGAGGGCAAAAACAATTTGATTGTGACAGGCTCACCTGTGCTGGCTTGTTCACGCACACACTCAGCTGTTCCCAGGATCTGCCTCATCACACACAGGCACAGACACGAGGATCTTCAACATGATTGCTCCATAACAGCAGATGAAGGAAACGTCTTAAAAACACCTCTTCCTTAACAAGGCTTTACCTTTATAAAGTAAATTGACTGGATAAAACAGGTGTGTGACAGTCATCGTGTCTAAGACCATAAAGACCAGGGCCCGTATTTATAAAACTTCTTACAATTCCTCTTAAGAATGCTGCTAAGAGTGGACTTAAGTGTAAAATAATTCTTAGTTAAAAGCTGAGAGTAAAAGTCAGTTATCAAGGGTCTCAGTCTTACTTTAAGTGAAGTGTAGGAGTAATTCTTAAGTGTCAGTCTTACTTTAAGTGAAGTGTAGGAGTAATTCTTAAGTGTCAGTCTTACTTTAAGTGAAGTGTAGGAGTACTGTAATTCTTAAGTGTCAGTCTTACTTTAAGTGAAGTGTAAGAGTAATTCTTAAGTGTCAGTCTTACTTTAAGTGAAGTGTAGGAGTAATTCTTAAGTGTCAGTCTTACTTTAAGTGAAGTGTAGGAGTAATTCTTAAGTGTCAGTCTTACTTTAAGTGAAGTGTAGGAGAAATTCTTAAGTGTCAGTCTTACTTTAAGTGAAGTGT